CTCCTCCTCCTCCTCTTATCCCACTCCCTTCTAGCACTGATGATGTTACCTAGTTGGGTAATGAAATGTCTGCAAGAAAACAACCAAACTCAGAGAACACCAAGGACCCCCACAGTCATTGTCTTCCTCCTCCCCGCACACCCCACTCCCTTCTAGCACTGATGATGTTACCTAGTTGGGTAATGAAATGTCTGCAAGAAAACCACCAAGCTCAGAGAGCACCAAGGACCCCACAATCCTCCCTTATCTTCTTCCTCCTTCTCCTCTTTCTCCTCCTCCTCTTTCTACTCGTCCTCGTCCTCCTCCTCTTTCTCGTCCTCCTTTCCTCTCCACAAATCCCACTCCCTTCTAGCACTGATGTTGTTACCTAGTTGGGTTATGAAATGTTTGCAAGAAAACCACCAAGCTCAGAGAGCACCAAGGACCCCACAATCCTCCCTTATCTTCTTCCTCCTTCTCCTCTTTCTCCTCCTCCTCTTTCTACTCGTCCTCCTCCTCCTCTTTCTCGTCCTCCTTTCCTCTCCCCAAATCCCACTCCCTTCTAGCACTGATGTTGTTACCTAGCTGGGTTATGAAAGGTTTGCAAGAAAACCACCAAGCTCAGAGAGCACCAAGGACCACACAGTCCTCCTCCCCTCCCTTCCCTTTCTCCTTCCTTTTCCTCCTCCTCCTCCTCTTTGCAAAACCCACCCCTTCTAATACTGATGATATTAACTAGCTGGGTTATGAAACGTTTGCAAGGAAACCACCAAGCTCAGAGAGCACCAAGGACCCCCCAGTATTTCTCCTCCTTCTCCCCCTCTTCCTTTTCTTTTTATTACTCTTTTGGATTGGTGATTTGAAAGAGCTATCAGCACTTTTCTCCAAATCAGAACGTGAGTTAGAGATTCCCCCCCACTTCATTTCCCAAGGTCCAGAACCCAGGACGCCTTCGTCCTCACGGAGACGCATCCCGTGAGCAGGCTTCCTCGTCAGGATGCTAACAGCTGCAGATTGCAAACCACTAGAAGGAATGGCTTCCAACCTCCAAGTCTTGAAGAGAAAAAAACATCGTTTTTTCCTAGCAGAAGTCACTCTTGGTTTCAGCCACTTTCTCAGCTGTTCCTCCTTCCAGTTTTGCATCGTTTTCGGAACTACTGCTTTGCACGCCGTCTACGAGCAATAGTAGGCTTTGAAAATACCCCTTGTCCAGGGTAAAATTGGCATGGCATGCACTTAACCGAGTTAATGCATTCCCTGATTAAATAGGCAAACTTCTAAAAAGTTCCAAAAAACCCCCAAAACAAAAACCTTTGCGGAGTTAATGCCAAGGGTTTTTTCTAGCTATCAAAGGTGAATAATCTGTTCATTTTTTTCTCCCCCCCCCTTTTTGTTTTCGTGTGAAAGTTATCATCCTACATGAGTTCCCCGCGCCTGGAGCCGCTTCATAAACTCAAGTCAACCACGATGTGCTCGAATATCTGCGTGTGGCCTTTAAAACTGGAAGCGAAGAAGAAATCGCGCCGATCCGTCGACACCGCGGTGAAGGAGCGGGGCGCCTGCACGTAGATCTCCTTAAATATTTGAAAGAGGCTCTTCTCCTCATCCCACTGGAATATTTGGGAGAAGGTGTAGTCACTTCCCAAAGCGAGGTAATGGTGGTCCTTGAAGGAGAAAGGCTGTAGGGTCATGGCCCCCCGGGAAGGAAGGGCCTGGATCTCCACAAACTGCTTGCTGTCCCATTTCATGACTCTCGAATCGCCGATAAATCTGGTGAGGGTGATATAGAGGCCATCTTGTATCCGGAAGCTCTTCACGGCCAGCACGTCCTCCATGTTGGGTATCTCGCTGTGTGGGAGGAACTTCCTGGAACTCTTGTTCCACTGAAGGATAATCGGGATCTGAGAGCGACTGGAGAGGATCAAATGAGATTTCCCGTCTATGTCGACGAATTCGGCGTCTGTGTCCCGGAACCACTCGTGCAGGGACTGGTAGGAGTAGAAACCCTTGTTGTTCCACTTGTAAACCGTAGTCAAGCCAGCTTTGGAGCTATCCGCGATGACGAAAAAGGTTTCGCTCTCGATCTGGAAGAGCTCGATGTCGTTCGGCTTGGAGATGCGGGAGACCTCAATATCCTGGAACTTGACAAATTTGGTCCAGCTTTCCTCATACTTATAAATGTGGGATCCGCCGAAAAGCTGAGCTACCACCACAAAGACTTGGTCGTCAATCAAGATAGCTTTACAACCCACGATGGATTGGCCTGTTGACTCAAACAAAGGGATACTGTTAGCCAGTGGTGAAAATTCATTTTTTTTTACTACTGGTTCTGTGGGCGTGGCTTGGTGGGCGTGGCAGGGGAAGGATACTGCAAAATCCCCATTCCCTCCCAATCAGCTGGGACTCAGGAGGCAGAGAATAGATGGGGGCGGGGCCAGTCAGAGGTGGTATTCAGCAGGTTCTGACCAGTTCTGGAGAACCAGTAGCAGAAATTTTGAGTAGTTCG